CAATTGCATTTACAGTATTTTTATTGAAAAAAAAGCAGTACGAGATAACTCGTAGCTGGCATCACAAAATAAGACTCCTGTGCTGAGTGCCACGCACGAGTTATCTCGTAGTGTTGTTTTTTTTTTCATAAAAATCTTCACATTGAAAGATATTTTCTGTAGTGCGTGCACGTGGCCGATAGCCCGACGTCATCGACGCAACGTTATACGTTACAAAGTAATAAACAATTGAACAAAGATCTGACTACAAAGTGGGGAAACCGAATGCTCTCTGGAAAGAGGACTGTGCCGAAGAACAGAGTACTTATCCTAGAAACTTAGAGACTGACGGTGCTTTTCCTATCTAAATTATATTTCTAATAGAAAGATTTTTTGAAAGTAAAAGGCCGTATCTTCTCGTATTATCAAAAAAACATAGTGTTGAATTATATAAGTGGTGATATTTAGAACGTGGTGCATTAATGTAAGTACATCATATATATAGCTATATAAATTCTAATATTAGAATAAAAATAAATAACTTATTTCCTCAAGCCAGAACAATGGATCGTGAAGAAGAATCAGTATTTTTTGAAGAAGAATTTTCTACCAACGAGGAAGAATTCTCTGAGGACGATAGCGACATAATTTCGGGTGGAAGTGATACGTGCGAAACCGCGTCTACATCTGAAAGTGAAGACGAAATACCTTTCCCAGCAAAACGACTTCGAAGGATTCTATCAACTTCATCGATTGAGCAGTTTCATAGTCCTGATGATGATGCGGATATATGTACAAGCGATAAAAGCGATCCGCCACAATTCGAATTTAGGGGAAATCCTGGGTTCATAATTCCAGACGATGTAAAATCGCCAGGGTATTTCTTCCGTCTGTTTTTGATAGAATCTTGAATAAAATTTTGCAAGAAACCAATCACTATGCTGCCCAACAAATAGCAAAGTCTCACGTATTGCGATCATCCCGGCTGCGAAAATGGAAGGATACCAGTGCTAAAGAATTGCAGGTATTCTTTGGATTACTTATGCATACCGGTACAATTAGTTTACCCTCCATAGAATAGTACTAGAAAACAAGTGAAGGTTATAATTTAGACTTTTGGAAAAAGAGAATGTCTAGAAATCATTTTCAATTAATTTTGAGATTTCTACACTTTAATAATAATGAAGAACAAGTTGATGGTCGATTACTCAAGATCAATTTAATATCCCAACACTTCAACGAAACCATGGACCGCATCTATAAGCAACGAAGAAAATTGTGTATTGACGAAGCGATAGTTCTTTGACGAGGAAGATTGATTTTCCGGCAATGCGTAAAAAGCAAACGGCATAAGTATGGCATCAAACTCCATGAACTTTGTGAACCTGACAGAATAATCTTGAGAGTGAAAATTTATGCGGGCAAATTTGATGACCTAAGTGGACGAAATCATACTTCAAATGTCGTTTTGACTCTGATGGATGATTTTCTGAATCGTGGTCATGAGCTTTATATGGACAACTACTATAATTCAGTTGGGCTGGCGAAAGATCTCATGAGTAAATCAACATATGTATGCGACACGTTAAGATTCGACCGAAAGGGAAATCCAACAAATTTGGTAAAAAGAAAACTGAAACGAGGAGACTCTGAATGGCTGCGATCAGGATCCGTTGTAGTCAACAAATGGAAAGATAAACAGGATGTGCTGACTAATATCCAACATGCATAAATGCGAAATGGTTATACTTTGGGAATGGCAGGTGTTGATCGCTCTGACCAACGTATGTCATACTACTCATCAAATCGTCCGTTGGTACAAGAAAATTACACTACACTACTTCGAAATCTTCCTGCAGAATGCATTCATGTTCTACAACCAAAGAAATCAAGAGAATAAAAAGATTGAAGATGCTTCAATTTAGGGAATCAATTATTATGCATTTACTTGATAGCAATGGCAGCAACGCATTAGAAAGCATCGACCATAGAAATACAACTGATTTTCATTACTTAGAACATCTTCCTCCCACAGAAAAAAAGAGCAAGGCTTACAAAGCCATGTAGAATGTGTACAAAGGAAAAAAAACGTATTTGTAACCAATCTAAACTTGCAGCACCCACTACGAGATATCTCGTAGTTGGCAGTCAATGGATTAATAACAAAGCCTCAGATTGCATTTTCGCAAAGGAAAAAGTTACTTAGAATTACCTCAGCTACCCCACATTTCCGGATTGCTTTAGTTGAATAATCAGTACGTTTAATTAATGCAGTTAAAAAAATTTACGCAATATACATACTTACAGTTAAATATAAAACTTAAAATTTAATATTAAGTTTTAGAAATTATTTCATCCATGGGGGAGAACAAAACGACAAGGCCATTTAGTTCAGATAGTGAAGAAGAATTAGTAACTAATGATTTCAAGGAAAATCGAAAAGGAAAGAATTATAAAATAATATTCGTCGACAGAACATGAAGATACAGATAACAATGGAGGAAAGATTGGTGAAACATACATCTAAAAAATGCGAAAGATTAAACGGAATTCAGGAAAAAGATATTGTACTCAAACCGGAAATATTGTACCATTAAAAGTTTTCTAAAACAAAGATTGCCGCTGTCGAAAAGCTTGCATAAAAAATTACAAAGAAGAAAGAATATTTTTGAGAAGTTTTGGTATTTGAGAGATTTTAACCCCTTGGCTTATAACCACGAGCGAAACTCGTGGTAAGGGATTTGTGCTATAAGCGAAAACCACGAGTCTGATTCATAAAATGCCGCGTAGTATTATTTGAACTAGCGGTTGGAGGTATTTCACATCGAGTATCTTTCCTTGGAATGTAAGTATTCTGTTTAAATCAATATTTTGTTTTCATCAGCATTTTGTTTTTATCATATGTTTCTTAGTTTCTTAGTTTCTTAGTCTCTTTAGTTCAGCGTAAAGCTTCGTTACGTTCACACGTTTGAAATATAATTCTCTAGACAGAAAAAAAACTCTTATACCTATCATGTCAGCAACAACAAAATGTGATGTTGATGGTAGTGCAGAGAAGTGTGGTACTATTGTCGATTGTGATTCGGTAGATCCTTTTGACTATAATAGTAAGGACAGTGATATTTTGTTTCCTGTAAGAAAACGTCCACGAAAATTAATAATTGAAGATGACACCGATGATGAAGACAGCATTTATCAGCAATTATCGGAGCAATACATTTGTGAAGAGAATTTCTGGAGAATACATTCTGGAAGTATACAAAAACTTCTGGCATAAGAGCAGCAATTTTAGTCCAGTTAGGTGAAAGTAAAAGAGACTTTTTTAATATAATGTTCGACAATGTGTTTTGGGATAATATTGTCCAGGAAACTAAGCGATACGCAGAAAAAATAATAAGCTGTGAACATACAAGAAAAATCATTGACGAAACTTGGATCCCAGCAGATTGCACTGAACTTAAAATATACTTTGCGCATTATGCATAATAATGACTCAAGTAAAAAAACCAAAAATCCAGATGAACTGGTCCAAAAGAGCAATTCTAGAAACACCCATATTCAGAAAAAGTATGCCACTAAGAAGATTTTTGAAAATCGCTAGGTTTCTCCACTTTGCAAATAACAATGTGACTGACAACAAGGATAAATTACGTAAAGTGAGACCTGTGATAAACTATTTTAATGACAAATTCAAAGATGTATATGTAATGGAAGAAAATATCGCGATTTAAGGGACGAAATTTAAGGGACGTATGTCTTGTAGACAATTCAATCCCTCGAAAAAGGCAAGATTTGGGATTAAATTTTATAAACTGTGCGAGTCAGCATCGGGCTACTGCTATAATTTCAAAATGTATTCGGAAAATGATAAAACAAATCCTGATTACAGTGCATCGGAAACTGTTGTGATGGAGTTGTTGAAATCTATACTAAATAAAGGACATACATTGTTTATAGATAACTGGTATTCTTCGCCGAAATTGTTTCTAACTTTGGTTAAAAATGGAATAAACGTTCTTGGGACTGAACGTTGCAATAGAAAAAATATGCCGAGAGATTTTGTTAAAGCAAAATTTAAAAAAAGGAGAATACGTAATAAGGAGCTGTAATGGCATACTAGCGTTGAAATGGAAGGACAAAACGAGACGTCTATATTATTTCAACAAAGCATGAAAATGCAGAAATGATTGCACAAAATGATTGTCACCTAAACCCTACTTTTAAGCCCAGATGTATTTTTGATTATAATAAGGGAATGATTGGTATTGATCGCCAGGATTAGGTATTAGCGAGTTTCCGTATTATGAGAAAATCTGTGAAGGGATATCGAAAAATCTTTTTCTACATATGTGATATGGCACTTTTAAATTCATATATTCTCTACAACAAAACCAGTATGGCAAAGAAACAGAATTATAGTGAATATAGACTTTGAATAGCTGAAGGAATATTACAAACCGTGCCATCGCAAAATTATAACAGACAAGGCCATTATCGAACGGGGATATACCAATAAGGCTACAGGCGCAACATTGGGGTCACTTTCCGAAGCATATAGATCCCACGCCATTGAAAAAAAAATCCCACAAGAGCTTGCAAAGTATGTACGAGAAACAAGAAAAGGAGTGAAACTACGTGGGAATGTAAAAACTGTCGAGTTGCGTTACATGTACCTCACTGTTTTGAAAGATATCATACTGTTGAAAACTACTAATTTGGATTAAATTAACTAAGTATTAATTTACAAATTGCTAGTATTTCATTATCCACTTTGAAATAATAGATTGTTTTTGTTAACCCAGACGCCTTAACCACTTGCGGTGGAAAGACGTGCCACGCACGTCAACATGCTTTTATTACCGGAACGCCAGCGACATGTTACGCACGTCGTTGGGCTATTGTTACAGAAAGATAAATGACGTGCGTGGCATGTCCACTGTTCAATAAAATTCTTTACCGAGGCACAGTTTCTGCTTGCTCTTCGTCGTGTAAAGTTATTAGTATTGACCCCAGACTGTAAAATGGAAAGTGATAGCGAAGCCAGTGATGTTATTTCTATAAATAAACGGAGAAGACAAGACAATGTAGAATCTGACAGTGATTTAGAACAAATTGTTTTTCCACGTCGGAATCGGCGTAGAATTATATCTGACGACGAGGAAGATGTTCAGAATGAGAATAGAGAAAGGAATGTTTCATCCCAGGAATGGATTTGGAAAGACGCGGAAAATATAACGCAAGTATGGGAATATTCAAGAATATCTAGAATACATATTCTTGTTGGGCAAAATGTCACAGCTTTACAAATGACAAGAGAAGTATTAGCAGAAGACTTTTGGAAAATTATTGTGACAGAAATTAATCGTTACGCCAGTCAAACACTACAAAATGAAAACCGCAAATTACGAAAATTTGAAGACATTTGGTGGGACACCAATATAGATGAAGTACATGCGTATTTTGCTTTGTGCATTTTGATGTCCCAAGTCAAAAAATCTACTGTGCAGTCATATTGGTCTAAAAGAAGCGTAATCGAGACACCAATATTTCGAAAAACAATGCCCTATTGGAGATTTGCACAAATTTCACGCTTTTTGCACTTTACTGATAACGAAGTTGTAAACGATAATGACGATCGTTTATGTAAAGTGCGGAGTGTAATCGATTATTTTAATGAGAAATTTCAAAATATTTGCACTCCCGCGGAATACATTTCGTTAGATGAGTCGCTAATGAAGTACACGGGTCGGATCTCGTACAAACAGTATAATCCGTCCAAAAGAGCACGTTTTGGAGTGAAATTTTATAAGTTATGTGAATCCAAGTCGGGTTATTGCATTAAATTCAAAATCTACACTGGTCAAGATTTAGACAGAAATGCGAATGTAGGTGTCTCCGAAAGCGTCACAATGCTTATGTCCACAGTACTAACTGGTTACGGGCATACTCTATTTTTGGACAATTGGTATTCTTCGCCAAGCCTATTTCAAAAGTTACAGTCTAGAAAAATTAATGCCATAGGAACAGTGAGATGCAATAGGAAGAATATGCCTAAAGAACTCGCAGCTGCAAAACTAAAACGTTCTGACGTGATATCGCGCTCCTGTAATGGAATTTTGGTTGCAAAATGGAAAGACAAAAAAGACATATATGTAATGTCCACGAAACATACAAAAATTGAGATGGTCGAAGTGGAAAAAAAGAGGTGGAAAAATAATAATAGCCTTACAACAAAGCCTAACATCGTTTTGGAATACAATGAGGGTATGGGTGGAGTGGATCTGCAAGATAGTTATTTATCATCTTTTAAATTAATGAGAAAATACGTTAAAACTTATAAAAAAATATTTTTTTACATAGCAGATATGGCACTGCTCAATTCATATATTTTATATTGCAAAAAAATGGAAATACCAAAATGTAAAAAGTATTCTTTTTCGAAGTTTCGAATCGATGTAGCCGAACAGATTTTAGAAACAGTATGTCTTCCTGATTACCAAAGACGTGGAAGGATGTCTGCTGGAAATGCTCCGAGTCGCTTACAAGCGAAGCAATGGGGACATTTCCCAAGAAATATACCACCTACAAACGCCAAAAAAAATCCACAACGGAGGTGCGTAGTATGCGCTAAACATAAAAAACGGAGTGAAACTGCATGGGAGTGTAAAACATGTCTTGTAGCGTTACACATTCCAAGTTGTTTTGAAAAGTATCACACCCTGCAAGATTATTAATAAATAAATTTAGTATTGATACATTTTATCCTTCTGCCTCTTTATATTCTCTTCTGGAACCCACCCGCTGAACGCGCCGCGAAGTGATACCCGCTCGATTGTTCTGGCACGCGCAACCGAGAATTTCTTTGCACCGCAAGTGGTTAAAAATACTATTTGTCCCTAAACGTTGTTTATTATTTCACAATTCCTTTTGTCACCCCGAAATATACATGTTATAAGTAGTATACATCTTGTGCCAGTTCGGGCACACGGCTGAACAGCTGAATGGCACGGCGCGCGACCGAACTTCTTGTTTACTATTGTTCGCGCGATCGGCAGATAGCCTGTAGGCCAAGGGGTTAATAAACAAAATGTATTGCTTTACGAAGCTATCGAGCGCAAAACTGAGAAACAAAGACGTCAAAAAAACCGTAAAGGTTCGCCAAAAAATTGGAATTTTAGGTATTTGTTACATTCTAAAAACAGAAAAGTTCCCGTCTGTAAAAAAAATGCTTTTTGGATACCTTTAAAATAAATGAAGGACGATTAAAACGTGTACTAAACTCTGCAAATGTAGGAAATGATTTACGTGGGCGTTTGGTTAGATCAAGAAAAATTTCTGAGGAAGAGAAAAAGCACGTTCAAAACCATATTAAAAGTTTTCCTAAATTTAAATCCCATTATAACAGATCTCATAATCCTAATAGAATATATCTACATCCTGATCTAACACTTAGGAAAATGTTTAATTTATACGAGCTTCATTGCAAGGAAAATAAAATAAAAGCCGTTAATGAGTGGACTTCCAGAAAAATATTTAAAAAAGATTTTGATTTACATTTTCACCAACCGTGCAAAGATACATGTCAAAAATACGACTTATTAAACATCAAAATTAAAGCATCGAATGATGATAAAGAAAGAATAAACTTACTAAAAAACATGATGTCCATTTAAGACTAGCAGAATCAGCTAGGAAGTTACTAAAACAAGATCAGGATCAGCTTTTTCGTTCGACTTGCAAAAAGCATTACCTTATCCAAAGTTGACTACTTCAGTAGCATAATATAAACACAATATGTATGTTCTAAATTTGGGTATTCACAATTTTCATAACGATAATGTTCACATGTATGTTTGGGATGAAACTATTGTATCGAGAGGTGCTCAAGAAGTAGCTTCATGCATCCTAAAACATGTTAAAAATTTAAGAAGTGAAATACACATTATAGTTTACAGTGACATGTGTGCAGGACAAAATAGAAACATTAACATGTTGAGCGCCGCGTCGGTCATATATGGGTGATACTAATTTTTGACCATTTGAAAATTCATTTTCATTGTAATATGTTCGAACAAACTGAATTTGACTAGGATATTGCGGATACGAAAGAGTTCCAATGTCATCTAGTGTGATAAATTTTAACTTTCTAGTTTTCGTTTAATTAACCCTAGAAAGATAACCATATGACAACGTACGTAAAAGATAACCATACGCTTCAGAGGCGCATGCTTTTCTAAGGCGTCAATTTTATACTAACAATGGATATTTATTTAAGTTAATCTAGTCATTTTAAAGGTTTGGCATTATTGTAAAAATAAAATGCATTTATATTATATTTTTTTATATTTTAAGTAATTTTAAACTTAAATCACTAGACCTCTATGAAAAATTAACAAAAATCAACAGTCTTCGCAGGCGCCTCTGCGACGTAGGTTATCTTTCTCGGGTTAACTAAATTGTTTTGACTTTGAGGGAATTTTAGTGGTAGATTGTTGGCGCTGAACGTGTTAAAGTAGCTTTAATGTGGCTAAAAATTGTCCAAACTGTTGAAAATAATGTGGAAATGATAGAGATTTTAGCACAGTAGAAATGTCATTAAAAAAAAATAATTTACTGTTTTGTCACCCAAGATTATTATAATATTGTTACTGCGACTTGTCCAAATCAAGTCGCTGTACTGTGAAACTGCCCTGTTGTAAACAACTCCTTAAAAAATAATAGAAGATAGGGGTTGCCACGGAAGAGTGATACCAACGGACAATCGAAGAGTCGAAATCGGACTGTCGAACGAGCAACATTTCAAATTGAATGATCTGAAATATAATTGTATCGAGTTGTGTTATAGTTTATATATTGTAAATAAAATGCCGCGACGCGAGAGAAACGGAGTGATTCGCAACTGATTCATCCTGTCAAGAAAAAAGGAGGGTAGGAGGCCCGATTGGAAGGAGATTTCGGACATAATTACATATCTCGTATCAATCTGGGATTCCTTGGAAGTGTACGAAGATCTACTGTTTCGTAAGTGGGAATCCCCTGATGGAAAAAGTAACAAGTGGTTACTGATGGTTCCAAGAGAAATGGTAAGCTCGGTGATGACAGATTGTCATGATACACTGGCGGGTGGCCATTTCGGAGTGAACAAAACTCTGGACAGGGTACGTCGAAAATTTTATGGGCTTGATAATTGCAAGGATGTGGAAGACTGGTGTCGTCGATGTAATACTTGTGTCGCAAGGAAAGGTCCGAGGGAGAGGGGACATGGACCTCTCAAGATTTATAATGTCGGGGCACCGTTTGAAAGGGTAGCGCTCGACATTGTGGGACCGTTTCCGAAGTCTGCGGCTGGTAACAAGTATGCGCTGGTCGTT